TGTTGCATAGAAACTTGCTTCAGGAGTTTTTCAAGCCTGTTTTTTTTTTTTCTTGGCAGGCAGGTTTTACTGTGATGGCATCAATGTCCTGTTTTCTGTCTGTCATTTACACTGAGAGATCCAAGGAGGGAACATCTCCAAGGCTTTTGGAACTGACCTCTGCATTTCCTGCATCTCCCTTCTCCCTGAAGTCACCCCATCCCAGCACAACCTATAAATACTCCTGGAACATACTGGGGACTAAACACAGGCAAAAGAGAGTTGGGCCTCAGAGAAATGTGTCATTAGCAAACTCCAAGCAGGTACCTGAGGGCCTTATTAAATAGTTTTGCTGGTTGGGTCCCTTGGTTGGGTCCCAATTCACCTGCTGTGCGTGGAGTCCTGGAGGTTGATGAGGAGAGGAGAAAACACCACACACTTCTAAGCACTCAGAGAAGCCCTTTGTATGAAACAAGCCCATAAGTTTCTAGCAATGAAACTGTAAATTTAGGGTTATACATTAATCTCTGCATGGAGGCAGCCTGAGGCACCAGGAAATGTTGCTTGAGGTCAGAGAGCTTCAGGGCCAGGACAGGGAGTTTCCCAGGGACAGACTGGATCAGTGCCTCACCAGGATGAGATGTAAACATGAACAAACATGAATGTTCTCTGCCCAAGTCAAAGGAAGGTCTGGGCAGACCATAATATCAGTGGTGATATATCACTGAGAACTATGGCTCAGGTTCAAATCAGATTGGACTTGTTCTTCTAGTCATGGTGTGAACTGATAGGAGATCCCCCATCTTTGTTTTAGCACACAAGTTTTTTTTATTTCAATTTATCCCCATATCCAGCTGAGGGTGAGTGAGAGAGGGGCTGTGGGGGTGTCCAACAGCCAGCCAAGGAATCAAACCCACGGCATGAATTTTAAGAGACTAGAATCTAGTCTCTGAAAGCATGTAATCTCTAAAAAGAATGAATGTGATTATTGATTTTAAAGTCCATTTCTGCTACATCTTCAGGAGCTGCCCCTCCAATCCAGAAAGAAAATCTTATTGACTGCACCCCTGGTTTTAGTTTTACACAATGAAAATAAACCTTTACTCTTCTGCCAGTCATGGTTGCCTCTTTCTCTTCCTATTCTGATGGACATATGGAGAAATTTTAAAACTTTTTTGTCTGCATAATGATGTTTTACTTCTGATTTTACTGCCATCATAAAGTGACAAGGACTTGCTGCTGTATTTCATCTCCGTGTGTCACCAATTACCTTCAGGCAAATGAGTGAGTTATCAATTATAAGGACATCCCATTCCTCTGCTTCCCTTTCCAAAATTTTAGGGCCAATAGAAGTCTTCAGAAAATTCATGCCTTGACCACAGCCAGGCAGTTTGCAGTAGAAGGGCATTGCCCAGAGTCGTGAGATTCTGGGGGCATTTCTGTGTTTCTGTACTAGAAATGGCTTGTCCTCCTTTTCCTGTCACTCCAGGCCCGTGTCCAAAGTCTCCAGCTCTCTTGGAGCCTCTTTAGGCACTGGAAGGGGCTCTGAGGTGTCCCTAGAGCCTCCTCTGCTCCAGGTTGAAGACCTCCAGCTCTCCCAGCCTGTCTTCAGAGCAGAGGGGCTCCAACAGACATAGAAACCCTGTCTGTGCTCTTTAACCCTGCTCAGACTGCTACCTTCATAAGGGTCACCTGTAACATAAAATCAGTGTCTCAGGGTTTCTTGAAATAAAATTGATCCAAGCAATACCAGCCATAATTTCATGTTTATTGCACAGGAGTGGTTTTTGGACGTGGGCATTAATGTGCATGTCTTACAGTTGTTGGCACTGGACAGCCTAGGTGAGTATTTGAGGAACCAGGGGCGAGAGGGAGAACAAAACTGAAGGAGACAGCACATTCACCAGAACATAGCAAATACATAAAAATGGGAGCATTCAGACTCGCTGTTGTAGGAAAGCTTTTAGCTCTTACCCTGATGAACATTTTAATCATGATACTGATATTGAATAAGAATAGTAATTATTTCACTGGAAATTGTACTAGCAGAGGAAGAAGGAAAGATTCCCCTCCTGTAATTGGCATCAGCAAATCAGCCAAACTTCCACCAAACACTAGGGGATTTTTGCCTCCCTGTGATGTCTTAAGCCCATATAATTTTACAAACATTCCCCATGTCCTTTCATTCCTCACTCCTCCTCACTGTCCTGCTCCACAAGGTTTTCATGCTGTTCTTCATTTCTTGGTTCCTCAGGGTGTAGATGAAGGGGTTGAGCATGGGCGTGAGGATGGTGTAGAACAGAGAGACCACCTTGTCCGCCGGGAAGGTGCTGGAAGGGCGCAGGTAGATGAAAATGCACGGCCCGAAGAACAGCATCACGACCGTGATGTGGGAAGAGCAGGTGTAGAGAGCTTTGAGCCGCCCCTTGGGAGAGCGTGTCCTCAAGGAAGCCAGGATAGCAGTGTAGGATGCTGCAAGGCCACCAAAACAGCCCAGGGAAATCAGGCCAGTGCTGACGGCATTGCTGACACTGACGGTGTGGGTGTCAGCGCAGGCCAGCGCCAGCAAGGGGTGGACATCACAGAAATAGTGGTCCAACCCATTGCTGGGCCCACAAAAGGGCAGCTGGAAGACCAGCAGGGTCTGCACCAGGGAGTGCACGAAGCCCCCCAGCCCCGAGGCTGCCACCAGGCAGCGGCAGACGCGGGGGCTCACGATGCTCGGGTAGTGGAGCGGCTTGCAGATGGCGACGCAGCGGTCGTAGGCCATCGCCACCAGGAGGAAGACCTCAGTGCACCCAAAGAAGTGGATGCAGAAAAGCTGGGCCGTGCAGCCCACAAAGGAGATGGTCCTGTCCTCCACGAGGAGGTCGTGGATGAGTTTGGGAGCTGAGGCAGTGGAGTAACTGATGTCTACGAAAGACAAGTAGCTCAGGAAGAAGTACATGGGAGAGTTCAGCAGGTCACTTGTCCTTATTGTCAGGATGATGAGCAGGTTTCCAAAAACTGTAGTGGTGTAGAAGAGTAAAAATAATAAGAAGCAGACTTTTGCTACTGTCCTGTCTTGTGTCAGTCCATGCAGGATGAACTCGGTCACATTGTTTGTGTTCTCCATAGACACCACTCAGGCAGCACCTGGAGCACAGAAAAGAGACAACAGACAGCAGTGACATCAGACCTGGGGCAGTATCAGGACACGCACAAACTGACCTCTGGCATGTTAAATATTCAGCTTTGTTGTTGTTGTTGTTGTTGTTGTTGTATTTTTGGGACAATTTCAATTTGAAGTCAATACTTTCCTAAAGGAATAACAGTGATATCTGAGCCAGAATGTATTATGAACATAAGTAAAAACAAGCTCAGATTATTTAGTTGAGGAGGGTGGTAAAAAAAAGACCCAGGTCCTGGACTTAGTTCTGAACACCTCCTAAATACACCTGTAGTGACACTGGGGTAGTGAATGAGCTGTTGGTGACCCTCCCTTACTGACAGACACACAGAAATTCACCTTTGCAGCATTCCCACACACTACACAGGGATCACTGCTGTGGGATATCCCTGGAGGTGCTCAAGACCACGTTGGATGGGGCTTGGAGCAACCCAATCTAGTCACAGGTGTCCCTGCCTATGGCAGGGGGGGCGGTCAGAACAGTATGAGCTTTGAGGTACCTTCCATCCCAAACCATCCTGTGATTCTAAATCTGTAATGGAGGGTGGGGTTTTTTTCTTAATCATAAAATAGACCCCACGAAAGTCACTCACCAGAAATGCTGCTTTTCAAAGGTGGGATTTCAGCCAGGCCTGGACAAAAGGAAGGGACAACCTCAGAACACTTACACCGAGAGCTCTCTTGCTGTCACTCCTCTGACGACCTCCCCAGACCACTTCAGGGGGTTTCATCAGAATGTCTCAGCTGCAATTTGCTGCTTAGAAGTTGTGAAAGCAAGCAGAAACCTCTGCCAACTCTGAGCCCTGCAGTGGCTGAAAAGAACAGCCCAACTCTCTGTCTGCATTCCCCACTCTGAAAAAAAAAAAACCCAAAAACAAACCCAACTTGCGAGAGCATCTGCAAGAACAATTATTTCTGTAGCAGAAATAGTTCAAATAAATCACCCAGCAGAAGCACAGGACTATCAGGAGTAATGAGATCCCAGAGGCAAATGAAGTTTTGTCAGAAATCATCAGTGGACAAGGAGCTAAAATTGTTCTTTGGATAGTTATTAGGGTAATGTCTGGAGAGAAGTGTTGGAGTAAAGATGTCTCTTACATAGGATATGTATATAAATTTATACAAATTCTGCTGTCTGTCCTAAGCGAATATTTTTTGTCTGCATCCTTATTTCTTATTAACTTGCTCTTACCACTGCATCAAAAATAAATAAATAAATAAATAAATAAATAATCACACCTGTGCTACCAGTGTTACCCCTTAGATGCCTGATGAACATAAATTTGAAACAAGAAGTAACACAAGAAATTACTTCAAAAATTTGGAGAGGTTTATGTTGAGCTCTCTCTGCCTGTCAGTTATTTTTACTGCCACAGTGCAAAGCACAGAAGCCACTTTTTACCTCAAGTATGAAGTTCTTGTAAGAATTCTTAACAAAACATAGAGGAGCCTAATGCTGCTTTCAGCAACACCTTCCATAAGCTGTGGGTGAATACTTGCTCAGCAGCACTCAAAAATGAGACCTCCAAGCATTAATATTCAACTCCAAAGCATTTAAAAATGTGTCTATTTTTAATATTTTCTGTGTGTGTGTTAGAAAGTTATAAACCCTACCTTGAGCTGGGAACACCTTGTAACCTTCAACCCTACTTCAGGCAAGGAGTTGTCTTGGCTACTGGAATAGTTCCTAAACAATTCTTTTTTATTATTATTCACATGTGAATTTGTGCCTCCCAAGCCTTACTTTGGTGACTCCTTAATTTTTTAACAGTCAGTAAAGTGTCTTTTGTTAGAGGTGTGATTCTGTGTTAGTCTAATGATGAAAATAAAAAAAATGTGAGCCAGAGCTGAAGGGTAGAGGGTACGGTTGGAAGGATGGCAGCAGTGACGGGAGAAGTAAACAGAACTGTGGAATTGTAGAATAACTGTTTGGGTTGGAAGGGACATTAAAGACCATCTCATTTCACCCCCTGTCGAGGGCAGGGAGACCTTCCACTAACCCAGGTCACTCCAAGCCCCATCCAGCCTGGTCTGAAACACTTCAGAAAGGATTTGTTGAGGTGACAGGGGCAGGGGAAAAGTTTCCTTTCCCATTACTTACATCAGCAAAGGACTCAACTACCACATAATATCAGGGTTTTGTATTTTATTTTTTTTTTTAATGGGATGCTGAACAACATTTCCAGTACTTTTGACAGTACATATTTAAACACTGGTGCTGAGTTTGAGCTCAGGAGGCCCTGGTCTGGACCTGTGCTTGTTGACAAAGAATAGACAGGGAATGCCAGCTCATCGCAGAGTTCACAGAGCCTTTCCCCTCAAAAAATAAACCTTTAGTGCCTTCCTAATTACAGCAGGAGCTACCAGCAAGCTGTCCTTTAAAGGACAGGCCACGAGGAAATTGTCACAAAAGAAATCACAGCGAAAGAGGTTCGATTTTCTCCCATCCTTTGGAAACATGACAGGTGGTCCTACACCTTTCCCTTTTCACTCCCCACTTTTCTGCTCCACAGCTTTCTCATGGCGCTCTTCACCTCCTCGTTCCGGAGGGTGTAGATGAGGGGGTTCAGCATGGGCGTGATGATGGCGTAGAACACGGCCACGTCCTTGTCCTCGGCCAGGTTGCTGGACGGGCGGATGTAGACGAAGGTGCAGGGCCCGAAGAACAGGATCACCACGGTGATGTGGGACCCGCAGGTGGACAGGGCCTTGTGCCACCCCGCGGCCGTCCGGCCTTTCAGGGACACCAGGATGACCACGTAGGACGAGACCAGGATGAGGAAAGCGGTCAGAGTTATCAGGCCCCCGTTGACCACCACGGCGGCGCCCGCCAGGCGGGTGTCGGCGCAGGCCAGGCAGAGCAGGGGGTGCACGTCGCAGAAGTAGTGGTCGATTCTGTCGGGGCCGCAGAAGGGGAGGCGGACGGTCAGCAGGAGCTGCAGGGTGGAGTGGCAGAAGGCCCCGAGCCAGGAGCCCAGCACCATGCGGCCGCAGGCGCGCCCGCTCATCAGGGAGGCGTAATGGAGGGGCCTGCAGATGGCCACGTAGCGGTCGTAGGCCATGGCCGTGAGGAGGAACACCTCGGCGCAGCCGAAGAGGTGAAACCCGAACAGCTGCGCCATGCAGCCCGCGAAGGAGATGCTTTGAGTCCCCACCAGCAGGCCGGCGATCATCTTGGGAGCCGTGGTGGAGGAGTAGCAGATGTCTACGAAGGACAGGCAGCAGAGGAAGAAGTACATGGGGGAGTTGAGGCGCCGGCTGCTGATGACGGTGACCACGATGAGCAGATTTCCTGCCACGGTGATCAGGTAGAAAGCCAGAAACAGCACAAAATATATTTTCTGCGCCCCTTGGTTCTCCGAGAGGCCCAGAAGGATGAATTCCCTCACGCTGCTGGTGTTCTCCATGTTAAGCCGCTGGGGGGTATTCGATGCAGAGCCTGGAAATGTGGGGAGAATAAAGGCAAAAATGATTCGTCAGGTTTTTTAATTATTAAAAGTGAATTATTTATCAGAAGTGTGGTCACACTAAGAAATATGTAGAATTTAAATTAAGTTTATCAAGAGTGTTTTCTGCGTGGGTTTTTGTGTTTTGTTTTGATTTTATGGTGTTTTGGTTTGGTTTGGTTTGGTTTTTGGTTTGGTTTGGTTTTTTGTGGGATTTTTTGTTTCGTTTTGTTTGGTTGGTTGGTTGGTTGGTTTTTGGTTGATTTTTGTTGTTGATTTTTCTTTCCTTCCCCCTCTACATGTTTAATTTTCCTTGTATGAGACTTCAGCCACAGAACCATAGAATCCTGGAATGGGTTGAAAGGGACCTTCAGGACCATCTAGTTCCAACCTCCCTGCCATGGGCAGGGGTGCTACCCACTAAATCCCTCTGGGATTGAGTCCATCTGATCCAGGCTTTTGCTTTATGATTTAAAAATTATGGCAAAATCAGAAACTCTTGTGCAGGCAAAAAGCTGCTCAAGCACCCACAGGAAACGCTGAAATGGAGAAAACCCCAAATTGCTCTCAAACCCACAGAGTGAAGCCTGGAGAGGAAGTTGAGAAAGTTTGGGACTTTTCCTGTCCTTCCAGTAGTACTGGCAGGAGGTAAAAGGACATTCAAGAAAGGGGGCAAAATTTGTTTATCTTGCCTCTAAAAGTATCTTTTAAGGGACGGATTAGAGGTACGTGATATAATGCAGTCAATTGCAATATGAAATAAATACAGTATGGACTGTTTCAATTTCAAAAAAGGATGAGAAATTGCACCACCTCCTTACTGCAAGTGTTTTCCCCTAAAATCTCAGGGGGTTAATGGGAAGCAGAATTAAACAACTTAATTTAGGACTGCAGGACTGACTCTGTACGTGATTCTGGGCAAAGAGAACCAGAGATGATTCAGTGAAAATGTCTTTTTTCTATTTCCACATTTGTTAAATGAGGAGAGAAAAGAGGAAAGGAAACTAGAAAAATGAAAGGAAAGGGGAAGGAAAGGGAAAGGATCCAGAGAACTGGGAAAACTTACCTCCTCTGTGTTTGAAGATCTAATTTTTTTGTGTAAGGGCTGTAAGATTTTATCTCCTCAACATCTGCTTTTCCTGGCATGCATGAGTTAGAGCCCAGTCTTTAAAAAACGTGTAACACCTTCTGGAAAGATTCCAATGCTTGCTTACGAGGTGAAATAATCCCACCTAATTTTATTTCTTGCTTTCCTGTGTCACCAGGTGTACCTTGATGTTTCCTGCCCACGAGAGCTGGTTTGGAGGCTGCTTGGAGATGGGTGGGCACCGAAGGATGCACACACAAGCCCAGCAAGCAGAGAGAAGGCTGAGAAGAAAATTGTTTAAGTAGCTCTTCTTAACCATCTCCAGGGAAATCTCCCACCTCAAGGGCTTAATTCCCTGTTTATGTAGAACTCCTGCACCCTCTCCAAGGAAATCTCTCCTCTCGAGGGCTCTGAGGGCTGCAGGAGGGAGGTGTGAAGGCTCAGTGGAAGGAAGTTGGGAAGGAGGAGAAATTAATCCTGTCCTGTGAGGGGAAGTTTAGATCAGATATTAGGAAAAAATGTCTTCACTGACAGGGTGCTCGAGGGACTTAAAACTTGTGTGGACGTGGCACTTGGGGACACAGTTTAATGGTGGCCTTGGCAGTGCTGGGAGAACTGTTGGGCTCAGTGATCTTAGAGGGCTTTTCCAGCCGGAATGATTCCATGATTCCTTGAAACAGTCAAGGGATGAGCTGAATATTAAACTGGACAAGCATGTGATGTGACCTAGTCCAGTTAACCATTCCCAGAATCCATCATGAAACCCGGATTTGTGGTTTTCTCAAGACTAGAGGCCCACTGGATCCACTGCTTTGGCTTTACAGTTTTGTGAGAAATAAAACAGGACTTCTAAATTCGTTTTTATTAAAAAAAAAAAAAAAAAAAAAAACAAAAACCAACAACAAACACCATCAAGTAGGAATCTTCATTAAAATAAATAAAAATAAATAAAAAATCAGAGATCTCTTGTAGTAAGTAGAAAAGAGACACAAGGTCACCTCTTGATGACCCTCCAAGTCCCTGTTTTACATGAAATGTCATCACTGACAGCCCAGTGAGTAAAGTCTCTTGCAAGAACTTGCATGTTTCAGCAAAAGTCAGTGAATTACAGAGTAAGGGGAAAAAAAACCCTTATTTTACAAATTGGGAAACTGAGGGAGGGGAGGAAGTCAGCTCCTGCACATCTGTGGAAGTCAGCTGAGTTGAATCTTTGTGACTCCAGGCTTTCCTGTGATCACCTGATCAATTAGGGGGAATGGGTTTAAACTGCCAGAGAACAGGGTCAGATGGGATGTTGGGAAGGAATCCTTGGCTGTGAGGCTAGTGAGGCCCTGGCACAGGGTGCCCAGAGAAGCTGTGGATGCCCCATCCCTGGAATTGTTCAAGGCCAGGTAGGAGCAACCTGGACTAGTGGTCGGTGCCCCTGCTCATGGAGTGGGTTGGAATTCAGTTATCTTTAAGGTGCCTCCCTACCCAAACCATCCCAGGATTCAATGAATTTAGGCATCACTTAAACTCCTCACTGCTCTGAAGTTTACTGTGTATTTTTAAATTCTGATGTGTGGGCATCAATAAATAGTTTCATCCATTCCTTTGTTCCCTTGACATTCCTTGCAGTTCAGAATGGCCCATTAACAGCCAAGGGGATGTGACCATCTCCTGGCACAGAATGCCAGTGATCTATGCAGGGAAAAGAGAAACCCTCCAGTTTCTGAGGAGGTTAAATACTGCTCTGGGTGAAAATAGTCTTTTAATTTAAACATCATTTTACACTGGAGTCCTGGCCAGGTTACTAAGGGCTACCGGCAACGACTGTAGGAAAAAATATTGGGTAAGGAAGTAAAACCAGTTTTACAATCTTTGGGAAAGGAAGAGGAACAAATATGTATCTGACCTGCTAAGCAAATTTGGGTTGAATCTGCCCATTTCTGTACCCCACTGATGCACATGGCAATAACTTCCCTCTGTTTCCTCTCCCTTTGTTGCCCTGGCCGGATGGACCAGCAGGAGTGATTCATGCACAAGTTAAAATCGAGAGTTGCTGGTACCTCCTGTTGTGAAATAGTTTTGTAAGGACACAAGCTGCCAGGAAGGGAGGGAGAAAGGTGTGTTCTCTGTTCTCACTCCACTTCCTTTGGGTCTGGACACTGTGGTGGGGGTCCTCGTGGGGTGCATGGTGAGAGGATGAGTGGGATGTTGTGAGTACATGGTGAATTCTGTGTGGGGAAGAGCCATGAGTTTGACAGTGGGCAGGATGGGGCTGAGGTGCTCTTTGGGGGGAAGTTGTGAAACTGGAAGTGAAAGGCTGGAGGCTTTCTTGAGGGATTTTGTGAAATCAGAAGTGCCCGAGGTGTGTGCTGAAAGACTGAAGTGGCAGGTGGGGTGTGGAGTTGCACTGAAAAAGCTCCTGACACCAGAATTATGCACTGGGGGCAGAACAAGCAGAGGCTGGGAATTTATAGCTGCTGAGGTGTGAAGTTTGGGTGGACCCTCCTCCAGGGAAGGCTGGGTGAAACAAAAGGAACCAAATAGGATGCTGAATTTTGTTGGGAGAGGCTGTGGGTCAGGAGAGGACGGTGTGGGGATGGGTGTGTTATGGTTGGGCAGGGACAATAGGGATGAGCAGCTGTGCAGAGGGAGGTTGCAAAACCATCAGCAACCGTGTTTTGGGAGAGGACTGAAAATTTCTCTGTGACCCCGAGCAGCAGGGGCTCTGAAAACAGGGCATCTCAGGGGCATGGCTATGAAACATCAGAGCAAGAGGCAAGGGATAGGTTTGTATGGACAAAACCGGATGAAAAGAGGAGAATTAGTAAAAAAAAAAAAAAAAAAATTGTTTCCACAAGACTGAGAAGAGGGGAGGGGGAAGTGGCTCAGTTATCACACAGACACGTTTCCCCCAGAGAGTGATTGGCTGGTGGGTGTCACGCTGGCTTTTTAAAGTGTCTGATTAGCCCAGCACTGCAGTATTGACACAAGGACCTTGTCTGGACCCCATGCCACAGAACTCAGGGGACAACATTGCCCAGCAGATCCACACCAGGCAACTGCTGCAAAGCAGTTGCTGAAATTCCAAGGAACCCACAAAAAGGTGAGAAATTCCTGGATGGATCTTTGCCGTTGCACTCTAATGCTTCCTTTCAGGTTTTTGGGGAAATGAGGAGGGAAAGGGAGGAAAGCCAGAAACAGTGGAGGAAAGAAGAAGATCAAATATTCTCCTGCTGGTTAGAAATTTGCTGTAGGTCAGATCATGGTCATAATCATTTTCAAGGTAAGAAGAACTTCATTCCAGAGATGCTTTTCCATGAACAAGTGCTATTGGATTGCTCTAAATACACCTCTGTAATTTAAATGTCATTATTTAGAGACCCACATCACAGCAGCATAACTTTCTGTCCATAGTCTAAGTGGTTTTGCAGGCAGGTGTTGCAGGTAAACCATAGGGAGGGTGGTTAATTCCAAGACAAAAAAAGACCACCTTGACTCAGGCTGCTGCTGTTTGAGGAGAACTTTCACTAATTAGTTTTATTAAGAAAGTAGATTTATACCTTGAATGTGTCCTGGAGACAGGAATTCAGTCTTTCCAAGGGAATACAGTGGCACTCAAATGTTCATGACCTGTCCAAATGGACTGGAAACTTGCTTCAGATTTGCACAGATATCTTGTGGCAGAGAGAGCACTGCTTGGGGTCTTCTGAAGGCCAGGAAACCACTTTAACCACCAGGTCTTCCTCTGTCCTGGCAGCAGAGCTGCTGCACAGTTTGATGCTGCTTCAGCTAATTTCTTCTGTGAACCAAAATCCCAGAATCTGTGGCCACCCCAGAAGCAGCTGGGGAGGGAGGAATAGCCACAAGGCTGGGCCCTAAAGTCCTTAGGGTTAGAGTTGGGGTCCTGTAAGAGCTGAGAATGGGATCATCCACCACTATCTAACGGTGTGGTGCAGTGCCAGGAGTTCGCTGCTTTCAGTCAACCCTATAGGAAACCATAGAATCCTGGAATGGTTTGGGTTAGAAGGGACCTTAAAGATCATTGAATTCCAGCCCTGGGCAGGGACACCTTCCACTGGAACAAGTCACCTCAAGCCCTGTCCAACCTGGCCATGAAATTCCCTGAAATTCCCTGCATCGCATATTTCTCCTGCCTCTGTCCACGCAGAACTGTGGTCACTGTGTCTGGAGTGCTGGCATGAAACAACAGTGATTCAATCTGTCACATTTTGTGGGTTTGGAAGTCTGTCTGCACGTGTTTTACAAAGAGAGAACAGAGGGTTCTTGCTGGTTAGATGCTTCAGTGACTTGGCTCCCAGCCAACCCTATTTTGGCTTGTTCCTCTCTTCTTTTTAACCCATCTCTCATGACACTTCTCTGCCTGCCATGTCCAAGTTAGCAGCTGACCAAGAGAGAGCAAAAAACCACAGTATGTGTTTTTATCAGATAAAAAACCAAACAAACAAGCAAACAAAGGTGTTGAACCTATTTTTCTACTTTTTCTTATTATCAAGGTTCTCATTCAGATCTCAGTACCGTGGGAGAGGAAACAGTGTCAGGGAATGGGGTGAATTATCAGAGCCATAAGTCCAATGTCCTGTGAGGATGAGATATTTTGTGGTTTCTTGCATGTGGTTCTTACAGTTTCTGAGGAACAGGCTGACTGTGCCAGACCAAAATGTTTATTGTCTGTACACAGGACCCAAGAGAACTGATCAACCACATTAAATGGCAAATTAATATCTTAATTGAAATAGAAATCAGTCATCAATATAAAAATCTACCAACTTTTTATAGAATGAAATGTTTCCATAGAATCACAGAGTGGTTTGGGTTGGAAGGGACCTTAAAGCTCATCCAGTTCCAACCTCTTGCCACAGGCAGGGACACCTTCTTCCTACCATGTTTTCTGACCATGCACATAGGACTGAACTCAATCAGTTTTTACACTAATTAAACATGTGTGTTAATTGCCTGGAACCTTCACACAGTTCTGACAAGCCTTTTGTCCCACCTAATCCTATCCCCGTGGGACAATAATCCCGGAGTTGTTAACACTGATTTCTGTTTGGCTCTGAACTGACATCAGGTGGGTTTAGATGGGGTACTGGGAAAAAATTATTGCTGTGATGGTGGTGAGGCCCTGGCACAGGTTGCCCAGAGCGGGGCCTGGAAAGCCCATCCTAAAGTTGTTTAAGGTCAGGTTGGACAGGGCTTGGAGCAACCTGGTCTAGTGGAAGGTGTCCCTTCCAGGGAGTGGAACTGGATGAGCTTTAAGGTCCAAGTTCTAGCTACAAAGACCTGGGACAAAACCAGGAACACCATCGGGTCGCTGTGATGGAAAGTCACCTGGGAGTTACCACCTCTACCCTCTCTTTTTCCAGGTGTCTGGAATCACCCATGATGGGTTCCTCAGCCCCACCAATCTTCCTTCCAGCCACAACCGGCCAGGCTCCTGGGACTAACCAGAGCGGGGCTGTTGGGCAGCAGGAGCCATCCTACGCTGTCCTGAAGTTCATGGAGAGCTTCTGCCTCATCAGCTCTGCCTGTGGGATGGTGGGGAACGCCCTGGTCCTGTGGTACCTGGGCTTCCGCATCCGCAGGAACCACTTCAGCGTCTACATCCTGAACCTGGCGGCCGCCGACTTCGGGTACCTGCTCTGCATCGCCATCGAGACTGTCCAGTACCTGATGCAGTTCAACGTGGGGGTGCAGTTTGGGATATTCCTCTTCCTGGACCTCTTCATGTACGGGACCGGCCTGTACCTGCTGACGGCCATCAGCGTCGAGCGGTGCCTGTCCGTGCTCTCTCCGATCTGGTGCCGGGCCCACCGCCCCAAACACTTGTCTGCCGTCATCTCGGGCCTGCTCTGGGCTCTGTCCCTGCTGCTGAACACCCTGGGGTACGTCCTGTGCACCGTCCGCCCCTCTCCCGGGCACTGCCGGAGCCTGCTCATCACCATCGGCACCTTCGACTTCCTCGTCTGCGCGCCCCTCATGCTGCTCTTCAGCCTCACCCTCTTCCTCAGGGTGCAGTGCAGCTCCCAGCACCTCCAGACGGGCCGGCTCTTCACTGTCATCATGCTCACCGTCCTCCTCTTCCTCATCTTCGCTGTGCCCCTCAGCGTCCTCATCCTCTTCGACTTCCTGGGCTACAAATTCCTCTACTCGCCGGAGATCGGCTTCGTGCTGTCCTGCGTCAACAGCACCCTCAACCCCGTCATCTACTTCCTGGTGGGGAGCTACAGGGACCGCAGATTCAGGCTCACCCTCAGGCTGGCATTCCAGAGGGCCTTTGAAGAGTCAGGGGACGACAAAGATGAGCGGGAAACCAGGGACTCAGTGACCATGTCCTCCTAAAAGCCTGGCCTAGAGACAGGAGCTGGCAGAGTTGAAGGTTTTGGGGAGGGTTCGTTGCACCTGACCCTCAGCATCCTCACTGTAGATAGTTCAAGCTGATTATTTCGAGTTCTGTCTGCGATCAGTGAAGCCATGCAAGGACCTGGACCACAGAACTTTCCTGAACTGTATTTGGACCACATTAAAAGTGCCTGTTTCCTTTCAGTGACTATTAAATAGCTTTAATTTGATAAGGTGAAGTGTCTTAGTGTCTGGATTTTCTCAAAGGAATCATGCTTAGAATTTGCACTCCACTCAAAAAATCCTTGTCATTCCTAAGTGCATGAACTTTCAGTCACTCGGATCTCTGAAGATGAGATGGGAAACAACCCTCCTCCCGTTGAAATCAGACATAAAACTCCTGCAAGAAGGAGGAATTTCTCCCACTTCATTTTAAATACCCATATCCAAGAACAGTTTTGCAGCTCAGAGAGCCACTCTGGGCTTCCTAATGTGAGCATGCCAGAGAGTGAAATTATTTTAATTTCTTCCAGCCCTGGACAGAGTTTTTGCATCTAACTGAAGCTTGAATTGCTCGTTGTCTCTTCCTTGAAAAGGACAGATAAGAACCCATGGCTTTTAAATCTCCTTAACCAATAAAAATAATTTCAAGGTAAGGGAAAAAAAAATGCAGGGAACAGAAAAAGGTAAATAAATAACAGGATTTGCAAGAACCTATTCTATAGACCCAATCTCTTGAGGTGCAAAATCGAATTATTTGTCCTATAAAGCTACCTAACATTTATTCTTTGAACCAAAATTGTTAGGAGAAGGAAACATGGGTAATTTTCTTTGAAAAACCTTCGCTCCTTTATCTGGAATTGTTTTTCTAAAGGGAAGCTTCTTTTTTCTATTATTTTTACATTTTTTTTCTGTTACTTTGCCTTTTTATTAATTTAAAAAGCATCACTTAAAAGAATTAGTGGTTCACCCTAATGCCTGTAGTTGCTTTTTGTTTCCTGTTTTGAACTCCTGAAAGCTGAAATTTGAGTCCCCTTTCTACTGTTCTCTAATTTTTAATGCTATTTTTCTGTAATGTACATACAGGTGATACAGAATTTGTTCCCTTGGGATCTCTTGGGACCTCTCACAAAGAAGCTGTTTTTACATCACCTCAAAATGAAGAAGGAATGAGCCCATAAAGTCCAATTTCTTCTGAACACAAACCAAATTTTAGGGCACTGATTTCCAATCCTCTCTGAGTAGAGGAAATGACTAATGGAAAGAGACTTTGGAAGATAAATAGGGTAGAAAAATATCCTCCTTCACTGACAGATATTCCTGGGTTATATACATTGTGTCTGTCCTGATAATTATATTATTATTAGCACACACTTAATTGCTTTGTTTTATTGTTCTCTGTTCTTAATTGATGAATCTAATGGATATTTGGCAATATGGATTTTCTCCATCTTGTTATTTGTTATGCCTGTTCTGGAGCTTCCTTAGGATGTCTTTCCATCATAACTGTGCTTTGCATTAGGGAAGGATCTGAGAAGAACCAGGAACCCTCCTTGCACAATACATATGGGAGGAAATAACACTGGAATTACTGTCAAAGACAGGACTAAATATAGGGCAAATTGTAATTAGAATAAAGAGTGGGCAAAATGAAGAGAGAAAATGGGGACTGGACCAGATAAATAGCTTTTTATTTAATGCACAGGAAGAACACCACTGAGCCAAAGGAGACAGAGTTTATTCCCTGGGAATGGGGCAGGAAGGGTCATTCCAGGGGAACGCAGCCAGGGAACAGGACCCAGCCCAGCTCCCCTGGCTCTGAGCCACGGGCCCCCAAGCCCACACCCTTCTGGCTGGCTGCCAGGTGCCACATCTCCACCAGCAGGGCCTCACAGAGAGGTCACC